GGGCTGGGGCGACTGAGGCACAAGCCAGGGTCAGAGGTCAGTGACTCCGTGTCTGCCTGCACTGACCCCCGTGACCCTTTAAACACACGGCGAACAGTGAGAGCAGAGGGGACCAGGACGAGCTACAGGCAGTGGGCAAAAACTAAAAACTGTTTTGATAACGATTTTCAGACGATAATCCGGAAAAATCTTTTGTAATTGTGTTGAAACGAGAGCTGGGACCAGACGAGACTATTCTATTCTACTGTGTGTATTTAAGATTAAGATAAAGATATATAAATTAATAAATAACTCTATACTAAAATAAAAATGTGGATTTACAAATACAATATTTTACTAAAAACTCCAGGGTCTAAAGAGAACTAAACCACAGATGTACTGTATACGCCCAAAAAACTGTGAGTGTGACACAAACAGTTACTGAGCAAGAGGAGTTTACTATGTCAATGTATGTCAATAGCTGAAGCAAAACTTTGTCCATGAGCACTTCCCTCTTGAGCTTCATTGAGTTAGCGTGTTAGCATTGTCCTTCTATATACAGTGTATGCTATGGTCAACATGGGAGTCCTTCTAATAGGCTCTGATTTTTGGCGTCGCTGGACTCGCACCGGTCCGAAGTGGATTCAGGGGTCTGGGTCTTATTTGTGTGTGTGTGTCTGTGTGTGTACGTCTGTGTGTAGTGTGTGTGTCTTTAAAGGAGAGGATTTAGCTCCAGACAGATTATCACTGAGAGGCCTGTTACCAATGTACTGCCCTGTGTGTGTGTGTGTGTCTATGTGTTTGTGTGTGTGTGTGTCTATGTGTGTGTGTGTGTGTGTGTCTATGTGTTTGTGTGTGTGTGTGTGTGTGTGTGTGTGTCTGTGTGTATGGACAACATGTGGTTTCTGACGACGGCCATTTAAAGGTGTCAGACTGGAGCCAAGGACAATTACCATAGGTGCACACATACACACACAGACACACACACACACACACACACACACACACGCACACACACACACAACACCGCCGCAGTCTAAACATGCCTGTTATCGCGCTCCCCGCAGATAATGGATGACACTGGATCACACAGACTGGTGCTTAGAGACGTCTTAATGGAAATTCAGACAAACTTATAAAAGCAGCCAAAAAAAACCTGCCGCATTTTTTATATGTTTAAAATATCTTGTCATGTTAACGCTGGGGTATAAAGCTTTCTATGGTTTTATAAGCTTAAAGTTGAGACACACAACTACCCCAAGATACTTTGCTGTTTGAGAACTTTGAGAAAATTCCTTCACTGCAAAAATTTGTAAAAATATGAGGTAAAAATGGCTTGAATCAGGCGTTTTTTATATTATTTTGAGCTCATTCTGTCTGTGTTAAACTGAGACAATAAAGCCTAGCGTACATCGACAGAGAAACTGGAGACAACTAGTTGCAAGGCGGCTTTTGGCGACTGAGAGGAGATGGTGGAGATGATCAGTTGCCGAAATCGGTCGATGTGCGCGCTCTTACAACTGGAGATGAACAGTCGGTCTCCAGTTTCAGTCAGTTGCCCATGTTCTACTTTTCGGCAACTAGTTTTACTCATGTTAGTATTAGATAGCAATATGGCCTACGTGCAGGACTGTACAAGGACTCTGATTATTATGACTATGATGTGACTGTCTCTGTGTGACACGTATGTCTTTCGATGTGTGACGTGACAATGACTATATAAACTGTGTACTGCACATGTGTCAAAGTCAAGGCAATGAATTATCTATGGCCCCCGGGACATTGCCTGCCATTGAGGCAATGTATTGAAGCTCCCTTAAGCTCGCTAGCCCCCGCCGGCGGGTGCAAACGAGGAAAAAAATAAATCTGCTGGCAGATAGCAGATGTATTTTGAACTTCATAAGCCACAAGCTATATATCATTTTAAAGCTTATTTTCTCAGCTATATTTATATGTAAGTGCAAATGATATCAGACTTTGCATTAAAAAGATATAACGCATAATATGGGCACAAAATAAATCAGTCTGTATTTGTTTTTTACCTTTCGTCTTCTGCTGCTCCAACAAATTAGACTTTCCCCATCCTTGCTTAGTCTCTTTCTCTCCGTAACTGTCTATTGAAGAAGAATATCCACTTGTATTTCCCAAAGTATAATCCATTCTTCAGATTTATTCAAAAAACGCCCCGAAAAGAGGTCCAGACTGTTCTTTTACATTTCACCAAGTTTGAGGTTTTTTTTTTTTACTATTTTCATGTTCTCAGATGTCTATTACATCTAATATGTACAGTATGAGGATTGGCTTTAGAGCATATTTTATCGAGCCAACAGGTGTCACCGGCACTGCCTCTGGATGTTGAGAAACATTGAACCAGTCCGGCCCTCGGCGCGTAGCAAACATTTTTTTTTGGCCCTCTGATGTATTTGACTTTGACATGCCTGGTGTACTGCCTTTATTCTGTCTGAGAGAAAGAAACAATGGAAACCACTGGAACTTGAGAGAAACTTAAATAAACTTCCAGAGTTTGGCGCACCACGATCCGTCTCTGTCTGCTTCATCCCTGACACTCAGATCCGGAGATATGACCCGATGTGCGCCGCTCCGACAACGTGTGTGTATTGCGTGTATTGCGCCCTCTACAGTTTATGTCAGAAAACACACTGTAGTTGAGGCCAGTTACTGTCGATGAACGCGCTGTTATTCCGGAGACTGGTCTGCTCCTGGGAGTTGCCCGTTTTTGTCAGATTGTTGATGTGTGCGGGGCAGCAACTCATATGCGACGGATATAATCAGTTGCCAGTCCGATGTACGCTAGGCTTTACATCCAGGCAACTCTATTTTGCGTAAAAATCCTGACTAAAGTCTTTCATTTTCGACACGTACACAATAGAAGCTGTGAGTATGTGCCAAAAAAATAAAAGATTAAAATGCGAATCTAATAATAATGGGTTTAATACAATTTAAAACAAACCAAATCCAGAGAAAACAACACAAAAAGTAACCAAACAGGAAGTACAACTAAGGAAGAAACGAGGGGTGACAAATTAAACAAAACAAAACGGGAAATAAACCCAAAACATGACAGTTTTCCTGCTTTTACTAATACAAATAAGTTTAAAGTTTTAATAATTATTAGTGGTTTGAAAATGAGGTGCCCCCGCTTTAAGATAGAGATGGTAAAGGATTAGCAGGTTAGCAGAAAAAATGCTAGGCCTGATTTTTATTCTGCAGCCACGGTTCAAAGACATATAATTCGTCCCACAGTGAGGAAATTTCAGTGTTGCATCACCAGTTAGCATTAGCATAATACAGACCTAAGTATAACATCTCTAGCTTTAGCATAATAAATAAGCTAGTATAAAATCTGTAGCTTTAGCATAATAAAGAAGCTAGTATAAAATCTGTAGCTTTAGCATAATAAAGAAGCTAGTTTAAAATCTCCAGCTTTAGCATAATAAAGAAGCTAGTATAAAATCTCTAGCTTTAGCATAATAAACAAGCTAGAATAAAATCTTTAGCTTTAGCATAAAAAAGAAGCTAGTATAAAATCTCTAGCTTTAGCATAACAAAGAAGCTAGTATAAAATCTCTAGCTTTAGCATAACAAAGAAGCTAGTATAAAATCTCTAGCTTTAGCATAATAAAGAAGCTAGTATAAAATCTTTAGCTTTAGCATAATAAAGAAGCTAGTATAAAATCTCTAGCTTTAGCATAATAAAGAAGCTAGTATAAAATCTTTAGCTTTAGCATAATAAAGAAGCTAGTATAAAATCTTTAGCATAATAAAGAAGCTAGTATAAAATCTTTAGCTTTAGCATAATAAAGAAGCTAGTATAAAATCTTTAGCTTTAGCATAATAAAGAAGCTAGTATAAAATCTCTAGCCATAAATATAATACAATACATGATTCTAATCTTACATATATATTAAAAACAGTTTGCACAATGTTGATCTTTCCTTTAAAAACAGCTGAAAACTCAATTTTTTTGTTGACATTTTTGAAGGACCATTTCACCAAATCACTTGTAATGTTAGAAAGGAGTAAAAAAAAGGCTAAATAGAAAATCAAAAACACATTCCTGATGCCATAATCAGACTTACTGTTTCATTATTTACAAAACTGCACTTTGGAGTCTGAAGAGAACTATGTGGCAACACGAGCCATTTTCAAATGTCCCTAATACGTCTTTGGGGCCCCTTCCTGTTGGGGCCCGGGACAATGGCCCTGAATCCACTGCAAAACATTCACTTTGGCTCAGTTTCAGTGGTTTGTTTTGTTTATTTTGTGAAACGATTTTAATATAAGAATAAGATATTTTTTAAGATAAGAAGATCATCTCATTGACAGCAGCGGAGGTGACAACAATTAGCAAAGTTAAGTTTGGTTTGAATTTGGCTCAAATTATATGAGTTGGAAAATATATAGAGATATAATATATAGAGCAGCGAAGTAAAAACAATAATATCATTCATGAGAGAAATTACTCATACTGTATTTAACAATGACACTGCAACAAATGACAAAATAAGAGCTGATATTTGCTGGAATTGTATGGTTTTTGTTTTAATCTGAGTTCTTTCTGAATGTCTTAAAACAAGATTCTCTAATGGGACATGCTTTTTAGTCTTATTTTGAGAACAGTTGCTTTATTTTCTCATTCCAAGGGAGACATTTCTTGAATATTTCTAAAACAAGATCATTTTGCTTTGTCCCATTGGTGAATCTTGATAGTTGAAATGTGCTCAAATTAAGACACCTTTTGCCAAATTTGATAATTTTTTTTATTTGTCATCACTATTTGCAGTGTATTATGCTTATCCCATTCGCAAATCTTGTTTTAAGATTGGTCCAAATGTTCTCACATCAAGATAATAAGACACTGCACTTATCAACTTTGTTTCCAATCATTGTTGTCCACATTCTTCTTCAGTGCGATGTCTTTGTGGCGTTTACAAAGCTGAGGTTCCAGGGACAGCCCGCGGTGCCACGGCTGGCGCCAGTCATTACCCTGTTAGGCCAAATCAGCTTCCTGTGTTTGGTTTGATGGATGCCATCATCGTCATGGATCTAAACCAGGTAAACGCCTCACACATGCACACACTTAGGCAGCGCAGCCTCAGTGCCCGCTTCAGGGCGAGCTTCAGGGCCAGCTTCAGGGCCAGCTTCAGGGCCAGCTTCAGGGCCAGCTTCAGGGCCAGCTTCAGGGCCAGCTTCAGGGCCAGCTTCAGGGCCAGCTTCAGGGCCAGCTTCAGGGCCAGCTTCAAGGCCAGCTTCAGGGCCAGCTTCAGGGCCAGCTTCAGGGCCAGCTTCAGGGCCAGCTTCAGGGCCAGCTTCAGGGCCAGCTTCAGGGCCAGCTTCAGGGCCAGCTTCAGGGCCAGGGCAGGTCACGCATGAGTCACGGCTGAGACTGACCCACAGATGAAACTCCCAACGCTAGAATATCCTTATATTCAACATTTTTCAAGAATTTACTTGCCATTTTAGCCCCCCACAGTTTTAGTCCCCAGACCTCAGCTTTATCCCCAGTTTCAGTCCCCAGTCTTAAGTTTGTGAAAGTTCTCAGTCGTACAGGGATTAGTCAAGGCAAGGGAGGTTTCTCACCCATCATCTGTACTTCTTAGCAGGTTTTCCCGACATTTCGTCCTTAATCCAAAGGAGGAAGTCTCAGAGAGGAAATCTCAGACCGTACATTGGAGATTTATAACCTATGGGTGTGATTAGCCACACCCTAATCCTGATGCTTACTCATTAACAATCTAAGGTCTGTTTGATGCAGGTTTAACAACCCTGCTCTGGTCTGAGATTTCATTCCCTTGAAAAAGTCCTTTGGATTAAGGACGAAACATCTGGAAAACCTGACGTACAAAAGAAGTACAGATGATGGGTGAGAAACCTCCCTTGCTTAGTCCCCAGTCTTCCCATTTTTAGTCCCTACTCTTCAGTCGTAATATTTGTCTTTGTTCTCAGACACTACATTGGAAAGTGTGTGGTGAGACCTGTAACGATAGCAGAAGTGCCTACGCAGCATTTCACACCCGCGGCTCTCACACGAGTCCACAGGAGTGAAGGAGCTCTGGGCCTTTTGCATGTCCACTTCAATCCTGTGTGTGTGTGTGTGTGTGTGTGTGTGTGTGTGTAGCGTGTAGTGTGTGTGTGTGTGTGTAGCGTGCGTGTGAATATGTGTGTGGTGTGGACAGCAGCTGGACTGTGTCTCTCTGTGGAGACATTCCTAATGCCCCAGATAAGACTGGCACCTCCGCGTCACCGCCATAACCGCTGCACTGCAAAAACACACTGCAAAATATGATAAAATATGAAGTAATAATTGTTTGAATCGAGTGGTTTTTATCTAAGTGTCTTTATTTTCTCATTCCAAGGGGGACATTTCTTGTAGCTTTGTCCCATCGGCAAATCTTGCTAAACACTTGTGATTCCCTCGGATCAAAATTACCCACCACAGATGAGTAAAAATGGAAGAAAAATACCTACATTTGGTTCTCAAAGGGTCTAAATGACTCAGGGCCGGTCAAGGTAGAAAATATCATAACATTTAAGCTAAAAAATGTTTTATTTGGGGGGTTTTTGTATCACTGGGGCAGGTACACTGCAAAAGATGACAGAATTAAAGACAAAAAAATGCTCAAATTAGGCTAAATGTATCTAAATATGAGCACATTTTGACTGCCTTAAAACAAGATTTGCCAGTGGAACAAGAAAAATTATCTTGTTTTAAAAAGATACAAGATATTTCTCTCTTGGAATGAGAAAATAAAGCAATAGTTCTTGAATCAAGTGAAAATTGCTTGTCTCATTGGCAAATCTCATTTTAAGACACTCAGAATGAACTTAAGTCAAGTTAAAAAAAACTCGATTCTAGCAAATATGATCTCATATTTGATCATTTTTTGCAGTGTAAATTTGACCCATGGATAGCATTTAATTTAAGGGTGGTCCAAAAGTGCTCAAATTAAGATACATTTTTTCCAAATTTGAGCATTTTGTTCACTTATTTGTCATTACTTTTTGCAGTTCACACGGTTATGGTGTGTGTGAATCGCAACACCAGCTGTATAAGGAACTAACAAGAGAAAGCTGTATGTGAAATAAACATTGGGTCACTGTCACTCTGTCCCAGACCCTCCTACGGCTAATGCTGCTGCTGCTGCAACTACTGCTGCTGCTACTACTGCTGCTGCAACTACTGCTGCTGCTACTACTGCTGCTGCTACTACTGCTGCTGCTACTACTGCTGCTGCTACTACTGCTGCTGCTACTACTGCTGCTGCAACTACTGCTGCTGCTACTACTGCTGCTGCTACTACTGCTGCGGCTACTACTGCTGCTGCTACTACTGCTGCTTCTACTGCTGCTTCTACTGCTGCTGCTACTACTACTGCTACTACTGCTGCTTCTACTGCTGCTGCTACTACTGCTGCTGCAACTACTACTGCTGCTACTACTGCTGCCGCTACTACTACTGCTGCAACTACTACTACTGCTACTACTACTACTACTGCTGCCGCTACTACTACTGCTACTACTGCTGCCGCTACTACTACTGCTACTACTACTACTACTACTGCAACTACTACTACTGCTACTACTACTGCTGCAACTACTACTACTGCTACTACTACTACTACTGCTGCAACTACTACTACTGCTACTACTGCTGCCGCTACTACTACTGCTACTACTACTACTACTACTGCTACTACTGCTACTACTGCTGCTTCTACTGCTGCTGCTTCTACTGCTGCTGCAACTACTACTGCTGCTACTACTGCTGCCGCTACTACTACTGCTGCAACTACTACTACTGCTACTACTACTACTACTGCTGCCGCTACTACTACTGCTACTACTGCTGCCGCTACTACTACTGCTACTACTACTACTACTACTGCAACTACTACTACTGCTACTACTACTGCTGCAACTACTACTACTGCTACTACTACTACTACTGCTGCAACTACTACTACTGCTACTACTACTACTGCTGCAACTACTACTACTGCTACTACTGCCGCCGCTACTACTACTGCTACTTTTTTTTTTTTTTTTTTTTTTTTTTAAATCCTAGCCCGGAGTTATCGAGTGAGAAAAAAAGCTATGCCTCACGGTTGACCCTGGCCTGGTCTTATTGCCAGAGAATCCCGCCTCGCTTCCCTGTGCAGGTGGACTTACAGGTGCGAGCTCCTGGGGAGGTGACCCAGGGGGAGGGGAGCGACCCGGGGGGAGGCCCGGGTACTGCAGGACTTGGCCTCTTTAAAAGTGGCCTCACCTGCTAAAAAAAACTCACTGAGCTCCTTTGAATGGGCTTAGGGATGTGCCTACAGTGCTTCAAGAAATGTGGTCCAGTTTTCCTTCGTCAGATCTACCAGGTCGATTTGTGACATATTTTGGGCTTTTGCATCTTCTTCGATTTGTCTTATCCATTGTTTCCTTTGTCCACCTTCTTGTTTTTTCCCTTTTGGCTTCCAGTCAAGAATGATTTTTTGTATTCTTGAGTCTTCCATTTTTCGTATTCTTTGCCAGAATTTCATTCTTCTTTTTGCAATAATACTCAGGATTTTAGAGCATTTGCATTTTAGTCTCAGCTCTTCAGATGTACTGCTACTACTACTACTACTACTGCAACTACTACTACTGCTACTACTACTGCTGCAACTACTACTACTGCTACTACTGCTACTACTGCTACTACTACTACTACTGCTACTACTACTGCTACTCCTACTACTGCTACTTCTGATACTACTGCAACTACCGCTGCTGCTGCTGTTACTACTACTGCTGCTACATACTTGTACACACTTGCGTATCTGTGGCGCATGGGAACCAGCGTCCAGCCTCACTTGTTCCATCTGTGTGGGACTTGACGCGTCGGCCTGACCTCACCGTGGAAAGACTCTGATAGCATTCTTATCCATTCGAAAACACACACACACACACACACACACACACACACACACACACACACACTAGAGCATTAGCGTTCAGTGAATGACTGGATCTTTTCATCATTCCATCACATTTTGCCACATTTGTCCTAGGGCAGATGATGAATCTTATCATCCAATACCACTCCTAAAAACACATTTTGTTTCACTTTCTCAATAGATACATCACCAATAATTTTCCTGACCAGTATGTTACTTTTACAATTCCCAAACAGCATAATTTCAGTCTTTAAGTTAAGTGACCTTTTGTTTTTATGAAACCAAGTCTTTGTGTTTGGCTTGAACTAGTGCTGACTATCAAAGTAAATTATGCTTTTCAATGAAACCACAAAGTCTCATGTCAAACAGTTTTTCTAATATTTTAGAAAACTGCTGCAGAAGAGAGACAGGTCTGTAATTGGTGAAACAATGTTTGTCTCCTGCTTTGAAAATTGGGATTACTTTGGCCATTTTCATTTCGGAAATAAAGTGCCCAAGTTGAAAAGACAGGTTTCAGATGTGTGTGAAAAGTTTAACAAATTCTTTAGTCAAGTTACGTACAATACTCCGAGAATATCACATGATGTTTTGTTCTTACATTTATTAATAACATTCAGGACTTCTCTCGCATCAGTGGGATTGAGGAACATCAATCAAGATTTATGTCAATTAATCCTTCCAATGGTTTTTTGCTTAATGGGATTTTTTTGGCCAGTTCAGGTCCTACATTTACAAAAAAAGTATTGAACCTGTGCACAATTGTCTTCTTGTTCCTTATCATTGTGTCCTTCTCCACAAAGTTCTCGGGATAACAAGAGCTGTCGGAACCACGGCCGATAATTGTGTTCAATACTTTCCATTAACCTTTGATATAATTTATTTTTCTAATTAATTAGTGTAATGTTCTCTTACTCTCAAAATCCTGGTTAGTTTATTTTTATATATTTTTTAACATAATTCAGTCTCACTAGTTATTAGTCTCACAAATGTTCTATATAAATAATTTTTCTTTTTGCAAGCGCAGTTTGAAAGCCCTTTCTGGTCTTTTTTTGTGTGGAGTCTCTTATTGTGCACTTTTTGATTGGACAATGTTTGTCAAAGAAAGTAATAAATAAGTCAAGAAAGGAGTTGTAAGCCGTGTTAACAAATAAAAAACTGAAAAGTGGGGCGTGCAATATTATTCGGCCCCTTTACTTTCAGTGCAGCAAACTCAGTCCAGAAGTTCAGTGAGGATCTTTGAATGATCCAATGTTGTCCTAAATGACTGATGATGATAAATAGAATGCACCTGTGTGTAATCAAGTCTCCGTATAAATGCACCTGCTCTTTGATAGTCTCAGGGTTCTGTTTAAAGCGCAGAGAGAACCATGAAGACAAAGGAACACACCAGGCAGGTCCGAGATACTGTTGTGGAGAAGTTTAAAGCCGGATTTGGATACAAAAAGATTTCCCAAGCTTTAAACATCTCAAGGAGCACTGTGCAAGCAGTTATATTGAAATGGAAGGAGTATCAGACCACTGCAAATCTACCAAGACCCGGCCGTCCCTCCAAACTTTCATCTCAAACAAGGACAAGACTGATCAGAGATGCAGCCAAGAGGCCCATGATCACTCTGGATGAACTGCAGATGAAAACAAATCATAGAATTAGTATCCTCTCAACAATTTACACACAGACTACAAAATCAGAATAAATCTGTTTTAAATAGTGCTTTTTGGACACTCAAAAACACTCCAAACACGGTGGTGATAAACTACTACTGTAGACACAGCTGCCCTGGGACACACTGACAAAGCGAGGCAACCAGTATGTACCATCAGCCATTCACACACAAACACCAGACCCATTCTACTGTGGGTGAAGTGTCTTGCCAAAGGACACAGCAACAGTTTGACACTTTACAGCCGCCCCACTGTGGCACTTGGTGTTCCCAGAGGTCTCACATCACATCATTAACCAGGCCCTGCCCTGCTTTGCTTCAGAGGTCTGACATGATTTAGGTCTGTCACGCAAGTATGGCCAAACGACCTTTTTCAGCAGAGTATATACAATTTTGGTAAATTCAATTACTGTAATGACCAAAAAAACATTCAAAATTACAAATATGTTTATGGAGATTTTATGAATAATTGTTCCATAGGTTCCTCGAATATTGTCCACGTTCAAACAAACCGAACACCAAAAAACAAAATTTGTAAGAAATTCAGAATGCAGTCAAAAACGTCGCCTATGTACCCAGGCTGACTCCACTCAACTGAGGTGCGCCCCCAACTGGATATTTAAGGCAGTGCAACTAAACCAAAACCTCCCACACCGAAAAAAGTTCACATTTGAAAGAGACCAAATGAGAAGACAATAGTAAATAACGAAACATAGCTGTAGCAATTACATTTATTTGTGTATAGCCCTAAAACAAACAAAGGGAAATGCAATAATAAAACATGTAGGAGCCATTAGTCCATAGGGAGTAGGATGACCATAAATGTTTAGAAATATACGTTAAAAAGTCCTTAAATGTCCTGGATCCTCCCACTCCTTGGACCCTCCTGCATCAAGAAGGAACTACAACATCAGAGTTGCATTAAAATGATAACTTACAGATTTGGTGTCAAGAGCACTTAATATATGTCATAACTAAATATTAAATTAACTAAATTTGCAAAGAATTTGAGTTTATTAAAGAAAGTATAAATTGCTTTCCAAATCAAATAAGGCTCACATTTATTGGTGTAGTACTAAGATCTCACCACTAGATGTCACCCTATGATAAGCTGTATTACTGGGGAGATGCAGAGACTAGGGACATTACTATGAGCTGAGGGATTCGGCAAAAAAATATCGTCTCAATTTCATGCAACACAAGATTCATATCGATTTTTATCCATGTCAGGTCTGAGTGGTTTCAAATATCCAGATTTCACATCATTTATTAAATATAGATTATTTGTAATATATGTATAAATAGGCAAGGGAAATATAGTTGTATAGCACAGTTTTCAAAGAAACCAGTCTTACATTTTCAGGAAGACTGTTCTAGGTTTTTAGCTGCATAAATCTAAAACGTGTTTAGTCTTGACTCTTGGCACTACAGAATCACTCAAGTATTTGAATCATAGAGCTATCAAAACTACACCAAAAACATATGGAAGGACTTTCTACTTCCGGGTGGATCGTCAAGACTATTGGTCCTCCTAGTTGTCAATCATTCTGGTGAAAAGTACAATATGCAAATTAGCAGTAGGGGCAGGCTCATACAGATATAGGATCTATGCTAAAAACAGTGGACACATTGTGAGCCAAATTATAATATAACAAATAACAAAACACAAAAATACACACGTTCCAAATAACAATAATAAACGTAGTATGTGGCAAGGGAGAAATATTTCAGAAACGTATCGACAGCATGCACACGTTAAAACGAAAAACACACAAGACTTGAGTCAATTAACAACTAAATCACTAGAGAAACTCTGTTAACCTGCACATTTCCCAGTCTTGATATCGATTACATGTTGATAATGCAATAGCTCTTACCCGTTAAGAAGACAGGGCGTGGTCTGCACAATCCCTCAGTTGTATTTTTAACCTGGATTGTCAGAGTAGACTTAGAAAGACAGTCCCAGATTTTAGCGTATGACTCTGAAACGCTGCCTCCCCATGTTTAATCCTGACTCTGGGAACCAGCAGGAGGCCAGTCCCTGTGCTCCCCAGAGTCCCAGGAGAAGGCCAGTCCCTGTGCTCTTTTTTTTCACTACACATTTCTCTCACAAAAAAGTACAGCAGGCGACCTCCATAACTCAGATGCTTATTCATAAAATCAAATGAAACAATAAAAACATGAACATACTGTATCACTGACTGTTATTAGCGATGATTCGACTTAAAAAATTTTTGATTTAGAAACAGAAACAAAGAGACACACATTGGAATATGTTTTATCCATCCATTTTCTCCCACTTTATCCGTAGCCGGGTTGCGGGCACAGCAGTCTTACTCTATTGTTTTACTCTTATTCCGAGCGTTTCCTCAGGCCCTGTTTAACCGGTACTGTTTTGGTACCTGCTTGGTCCTGGTTCTATCCAGGCCGAGCTGGTACTAAAGTGATTGGTCAGAGTGCTGCTGGAAGCAATGGTCATCAAGGAATTTCCCTGAATACTGGCTTGTTGTGTGTGAGTAGAGTACAGTAAAGCAGGAAAGAGTAGAGTAGAGTAAAGTAGGGTAGAGTAGAGTAGAGCAGAGTAAAGTAGAGTCGAGTAAAGCTGTGTAAGGAAGAGTAGAGTAGAGTAAAGCAGAGTACAGTATAGCAGAGTGTAGTATAGTAGAGTAGAGTAGAGCAGAGCACAGTAGAGTAGAGTATAGCAGAGTATAGCAGAGAAGAGTAGAGTAAGGAAGAGTATGGTAGAGTAGAGTAGAAGAAAGTATGGTAGAGTAGAAGAAAGTATGGTAGAGTAGAGTAGAAGAAAGTATGGTAGAGTAGAAGAAAGTATGGTAGAGTAGAGTAGAAGAAAGTATGGTAGAGTAGAGTAGAAGAAAGTATGGTAGAGTAGAGTAGAGTAGAGCAGAGCACAGTAGAGTAAAGTATGGTAGAGTAGAGTAGAAGAAAGTATGGTAGAGTAGAGTAGAGCAGAGCACAGTAGAGTAAAGTATGGTAGAGTAGAGTAGAGTAGAGCAGGACTGGTGGAAACGGGGCTTACGTATACATTTGCATAGTATGTTTTCTAATAATGATTCAATACTTAATAGAATATTGTAGTACGGTAAGTTTTTACAGCTATGGACAATGTTTTGATATTAATTTGGAAAATAATCTTTCCGTCTCTCTGTGGTTCAACATCGCGATGGTTTGAGGGGTTGATGTTTACGTTTGTGAATAATATCGTGTTTATTTGCTGCAGTTGTCGACGCTCCTCAAAAGACTGGAGGTGCTCTTCATCCTAAAAACAATCAAATGTACCGTAAATATTTACCAGAAAAAAACAGAAAACATAACAAAAATGTGAATTAGAAATCTTACATGTTGGTGATCCTCTCCAGTCGCTCTTTAAAATCATCCTGGAGGAATATTGGATCAATAATGGAGAGTAATGGCATTATTAAAACAAGAAATATGGGTGAAGTTTATCCGAGTCAGGTTTTTATGATTTGGAGCTTTTTATGACTCCATGTTTAAATATATATATATATATATATATATATATAGTTATACCACAACAAAGCAGTTTGTAAAGAAAAGAACTGGGAGTCGAACCAACAACCTAAGACCTGAGAAGCAAGAGTGGTAACCATTTAGTGTGTGTGTTGGAAGGGGGATGTGAGTGTGTCTGTCTGTGTGTCTCCCAGTTTGTCTCTGTGTCTCTATGTGCGTCTTCCTGTGTGTGTGTGTGTGTGTGTGTGTGTATGCATCTCTCTGTGTGTCCCTGTGTGTGTGTGTGTGTGTGTGTGTGTGTATCTCTCTGTGTGTGTGTCTCCCTGTGTCTGTGTGTGTGTCACAGTGTGTCCATATGTGTGTGTTCATGTAGATGGTCATTGTGATATAAAAACACAAATATTTAGTTTATATAACCAAATAACAAAAGATATTGACAACTGAATTTATTTTGATGAACATTTTAAAAGTCTAAGAACGATAAGCGCTCCCCAGAATGGTATCAAAACCTTTCTATCGCCATGGAAACCCACCTCCCATATCGTTGCTAGCATTTTTTAACCCGTATTTTTCCTTTGCACACCAAAGCTCCTCAAACTTGTGAGGCTAGTAAGGTATTTTTTTGTTATTTTCATATTATTTAATGTCAGTTTGATGCCATACTGAGAGATTTCAGACAGAAGCTGTGAAAGAGAGCACATATTTCAGATCTTAAAACACAAAACTTACCTGACTTTCTGGTTCTTTTGGCTCTTCCGGAACTTTTGGCTCATTCTTTCTGGAGGTGTGGCCTTTGACACTGGGCTGGGGACAAAACAGGGACATACTTGGAATAAATGAATGTATTTCATTTTAAAACTATAGCGGGTCTAAAACGTAACAAAACTTAAATGAAACGAGGTTTGGTTTTACCTGTGTGGAAACGTATAAAACACTGGGGACGAAGGAGGCTGATGGAGGAGAACTGGGAGGTGGGATATTCTCCTGAAAGTAACAAATTAAACAGATTAGTGAAGTATAATTGTTAGGGCTGTCAAACGATTAAAATGTTTTAGTTGATTAATCGCACAGAAATGGTGAGTTAACTCACAATTAATCGCATTTTTAACATTCTATTTCAAATCCACTCCAAATAAAGTTAAATGAGATTATCAAATGTAATGACATTTAAGTACATTTGGTCATTCATACCAAATGTACTTAAATCTATTTGATTTGCTCACAACCCTTTGCTTTTGGGCACAACCAAAATGAGCTGTTAATGAAATGGGGAAATTTACGTATCCCAGCTTTAATTCAGCGTTTCAGTTTAGTTTAGTTTCAGGAGGAGACACGGACACATCCGCGGTGTATATGCGTGCACAGGTTACGCACAGGTTGCAAAGACACGAGCACAACATGCAGACAATAGTTCTGTGGCGTGTTTGGTCTTGTGACCATGTTACCGCGGCGCCACTCACTCACAGCCGCTCACAGCCGTGTTGTTGTGAGCGGCTCACAGTCAGAGCGGCCACGGAGGAGGCGGACTTCAGTTCACAGCAAACAACAGCCCCGCAGTGGCGCGCGTATTCTTTTAAAACATGAATCCCCAGAGGACCTACCTGCTCTGATGCATCTCACACGCAGCATTCTGAGTGATAATGAATAAATGGGCGGGTCATTCGGACGTGCGTTAATGCGTTAATTTTTTTTTACGCGTTAATGAAAAATGTAATTAACGTGAGTTAACGCGATAATTTTGACAGCCCTAATAATTATTAAAAAATGTATAAACAAACATGACAAATGGAGCAAGTCTCTGGTCCAGGAGTCCAAGTCTAGTCCAAGTCTAGTCTAAACTTTGGACTAAACTTTGGACTAAACTTTGGACTAAACTTTGGACTAAACTTTGGACTCGACTTTGGACTCGACTTTGGACTCGACTTTGGACTCGACTTTGGACTCGACTTTGGACTCGACTTTGGACTCGACTTTGGACTAGACTTTGGACTAGACTTGGACCGGATACTTGTACTAGACTCGAGTCCAAGCCTTGTACAAGTCTAGTTCAAGTCTAGTCCAAGTCTCTGGTCCAGGAGTCCAAGTGTCTGTCCGAGGAGTCCAGAAAGTAAGTAAGTAGTAAGTAATATTTATTTATATACCGCCTTTCACAGACCAGAGTCACAAAGCGGTTTACATTTGTTATTTTTTGGGCATTTGTCTCTCACTCCACACAGAGATGGGAGCGGGGTCGCCGAACAGGAGGCGCATGCCAGAACTATTGGACATGTTTTTAGTGGTAGGAGAAACCGTAGTACCCAGAGGAAACCTACACAGACAGGTCTCTGTCACAGGAGTCCAAGTCTCTGGACCCATAAGTCCAAGTCAGTTTTGTACAGGTTTTGAAATAAACATCTCGAGTGTTTGGCACTTCACACCCGCAGCCGCCCCACTGTGGCTCCTGCTGTTCCCTGAGGTCTCCCATCACAGTACAAACCAGGCCCTGCCATGCTTAGCTTCAGAGTTCTGACGGGATCTGGCTACTACTAATACTACTAGTTACTGCTACTACTGCTACTACTACTACTACTACCACTTGATTAGAAAGTCCAAAAAGCTACAGTAAAATATTTCTCAGTTAAAAGTACAGATAATCAAAAATACCTTAGCCCTGCTCAGCTCCAGTTTAGTTTCCAAAAGTAAAATCCGACTCTGCAGGTTCTCCCACGTCTCTCTGGATACAGTTATAGGTTGTTCTTGAGTCTGCAGCAAAGCAGTTCTTAATTTAATTTAACCAAACAATATAAAATTAATCAAATAAAAAAATCAACCAACTTTGTCTTTGCTTTTCAGTCGTTCCATTTCCTCCAGGCGCTGCTCCAGGACTGCGATTCGGTTCAACCCAGAAACAAGTGCCTCAACCCTGGCCTCCAGAGCGGACAGCCTCCCCATCAGCTCTGCACACTGACAACAGACACGAGAAAGATACATTAAAAAAACAAATACACTTTCAAAAACAAGTGTTAAAATATATAAAAAAGAGGAGAGGATGCGGGAGCTGCTCAGTTATTCAGGTGGACTTCAATGAGAAAGAAAAGTTTAAATTATATACTGTAGTAGTTCGCTAATTGATGATTTGTAGCTAAAAACTTCAATTACACACACACACACACACACAGAGAGACATACGCACACCCACAGACACACACACACACACACAGAGAGACTCTTTCTCTCACACACACACACAGAAACACACACACACGTACGCAGAGAGATGCACACATGCACACACACACGGACCCAAACAGAGACAAATACACCCACACACAAACACACACAGTGACACACACAGAGACGCACATAAACACACACACACACACACATAGAGACAAACACACACACACACACACACACTCTTTCCTCCACATATTTCTTCATTACTTCTTTATTATACATGTTTTAATTCAATAATGTTTGAATATGACTCTACAATCTTTGCCCATTCCTCTTTACAAAACAACTCAACCTCTGCCAGGAGTCGCATAAAGCCATTTTCAGGTCTTTCCACAGATCTACATTAGGACTTTCCTCTAGACTTTGACGACTGTATCGTTTCATGAAAGATGGGGTCTGACTTACACAGTGTCGGTCAGAAGTCTCCTGCTCCTCGGCTCCTCTCATTTCTACGACTCCATGTTCACGAGACTCAGACGAGAAACTTTCAACCGGAACTGAAAACTTCACCATCTTGGAGGAGGCCGTCTGGTTCTGAGAGAAAGACACCGGGACAGAGGACGGATTCTCCACGTGATTCACAACCAAGGGCTTGGCAGGAACCTGGAAAAAAAAAAAAACATTTTGAGAAAACACATTATTAATAGGGTCAAATAATAATTGCTAATAATTTCCAATATGGACTATTCCCAAAATATACCAAAGTGTCTTGGTTATAATCAGTAATGTTTGTGTAATTGGGGTGAGTACCATTCATTACACATATTTGAGATGCACTATATAGTTCATAGAGAGATAGTAATATTTATAGAGTAATTTTTCTCACTCTGTAGTTCAAATCCTCAACAAAAACTCAAACCTTTTCCACCAGCCCTACACTCAGGACTTTACTCTACTCTAATCTACTTCCAACTTCCAAGGATACAGTACCAGATACTAAAGAGTAATGGAAACAGAACTGAGTAGAGAATAGTAGAGTAGAGTAGAGTAGAGTAGAGTAGAGTAGAGTAGAGTAGTACTGGTGAAAACATGGCTAAAAATCCAACTTTTGTGAATATTTTTAGCCTGCTGTGTACTACTTATACTTACAGCATTTTCCAGATCAGCAAAGGATATTGTTTCTACTTTAACATTCTTGTGTGGAGCAGAAAATCTGGATTTGGGCTGTTCACAAAAAAGACAAGAAAAAGATACAGATAAAATGTATTGGTGTTCTTTTTGTAGATAACTACTGTTGTGATTTAGGGCTAAACAAAAATATATAATGTAATTGAATCCAAATGCTGAGTTTTTGGCCTTACTTTAGACCTCTTGTGCAGGTTGTGCCGCTCTAACACCAGACTGATGACATCACAGACCACAGAAATCTTCCTTTGAGAGAATCCCCACTGAAGGAACTGCTCCTTGGTTAAAACAGGTTTGTACTGGAAGACGTCTCTCAAAACCTGAAATTAGAAAATATATATTAAAAGATTGTATTATCCAGGAGTGTGTGAGTGTGAGTGTGTGTGTGTGTGTCATCGGTTAGAATGTAACAATGTTCTTTGTTCTGTCCCTTCCAAATAGACTAATATATAAATAAATATGTGTTTGTGTATGTGCATGTGTGTGTATACGTGTCTATGAGTGTATATGTATGTGCATGTGTGTACGTATGAGTGTGTGTGTATGTATAGGTGTGTGTGTAGGATAGGATGTGTAGGAAGGATAACAAATGACTATTAAACCAATCTGAAAAAAAAAGGTGTGTAGATGGTCCCACCTTGTAGACTGTGTCTATGAATCTCAGGTCAGTTTTTGCCGTCAGTTCAAATCCAGACGCCACGATCTGCTCCGTCACCGCTGGAGAGAAGGAGGTGAGTGTGTAGCTCACGATGGGAAGAAAGGCTGCAGGGTCGCCACTCGTCAGGCTGTAAGTGGAAAAACAAGTCATTATTGAACACAATATTTAAAAAAAAGTATTGAACATTTGAAATTGTTGATAAAAATGAGAAAAAGGCACATTGAAGAATTATTAATTTTTTAAGCTGAACATTTCAATTATAATCAGTTTTTTAAAATAGATTTTAAAAGGAAAACTGGAATAACATAATGGAATATCAGCAAGACCAGACTCTCTGTTCAAGTTGAATTAATCTTATTTAGTGATTGTATGCTTTAATAGATTTTTTTTTTTTTGCATAAATCTTAGTTTTGTGAGTCAGTAGCACGTCTTAGCAATAGAAAACATGGAAACTGGACACTAGTTCATTATTTTTGTGGTCTAAACATTTCACATTTTCTCCATTGTAAGATCAATAGTAGTAGTAGTAGTAGTAATCTTTATTTATATACCGCCTTTTCACTGCACATCGGAGTCTCAAAGCGGTTTACAATTGTTATTTTTTGGGAGTGGGGGTGCCAGTACAGGAGGCACATGCCAGACCTATTGTACATATTTTTAGTGGTAGGGGAAACCGGAGCACCCGGAGGAAACCTACGCAGACACGGGGAGAACATGCAAACTCCACTCAGAAAGGCCCTGGTCCAACCGGGATTTGAACCCAGGACCTTCTTGCTGAGAGGCGAGAGTGCTATCCACTCAGCCACCGTGCCGTAGGGTAGGCTAGGCTAGGCTAGGCTAGGCTAGGCTAGGCTAGGCTAGGGTAGGGTAGGGTAGGGTAGGGTAGGGTAGGGTAGGGTAGGGTAGGGTCCCCCGCGCGTCAAATTCACACTGCGGGTACCCCGGGACCAGGGGAGTCCCTGGGTCCCACCCCCGTGTCTGTAGCCCCCCTGGCTCGGCTTTGAGGAGCCCGGAAAGCGGGGCTTTCTTCCCCCGGGAATGAGCGCCCAGGCCCGGAACTGAGGCGAGAGTGCTATCCACTCAGCCACCGTGCCGCCCATACATTTTATCTAATCATATTTGACTATAACGGGACTTCTCTGCATAATGAACGTAATGAAACTAGAATCAGGCTCCACTAGCTATATCATAGTTGTCATTAAACAAACAAACATTCACTCACCTGCTGTAGCTGACAGGCCCAGTGTATTTAATTGAACGAATAAGACTTTCCAGTTTACGAATGCCGCCTTGAACATCTCCCGTTGGAAGCATCGTTATCTAAATGTGGCAGTAAAAAAAAGTAAAACGTTTTAATAAAGTTGCATAGCTTAAAACGACACCTATGCGAGTTAGGGTAAAGAGTTAGCTAGCTACTTCATGCTGACAACAACACATGAATGAAACAGTTCGACAGCCTTGGTTACCACTATACACGTGTGTTGACATAGCTTAAAATGACATTTATGCTAGCTATGTGTTAGCCACTTCATGCTAACAACAACACTAGAATGAGAGTCGCCTTGGTTACCACTATAAAACAAAGCTATTACAACGAATTGGAAACACGCAAATCATCTATGGTCTATATGTGTGTGTGTGTATATAGCACTTTAAAGTTTAACTAAATAGACAGAATGGTTGATATGTTGCCTTTTCTCAATAGTTTTCCGTGTAGAAGTTTGATTGTGGCGCCGAGCAGTGACTGTCGTTTTGACGTAAACAGGAAAAAAGGGAAGAGGGCGTGGTCTGGTTTGACGTAAACAGGAAGAAGGGCAAAGGGGGCGTGGTCAGTGGTGACAGGGGGAGAAGCAGGGGTAAAACAAATGTGGCGATCTCTCTCTAAAAGCAGCGAAATGAAGCCGTTGCCTCCGCTTTACACTCACATGTTTTTCTCATTGTAGCCTGCTATTTCTTTAACGTCCTTCTGCTATCTTTCGCGAGAGAAATAACTCGGTTTTGGTTGTCCTTACGTGCCAGGAATCCAAGGAATCGCGTTACTAACAGGTAAGCAGGTCGCTGTCACTGATAATGGAAGCCGTGTGTTTAGCTAACTTAACAACAGCAGCAGTACTAAAAGTTTTAATGGAAGTAATTCGCTTGGTTTGCTCCAAAACTTGCAAAAAAACGTCAACTATGGGATTTGCGAGCGTGTTGATTAGAGTGACGTCTGTAGTAACCAATGATTCGTCAGCTTCGTTGCTTTACTGGCGAGCGGACCAATGGTATGATGGCAGGGGGCGGGTCTTAAGGCCGGACTACCTTGATGTTGGAACTTCCAGCGCTTCTGTTTACAACGGGGCACTGGATTTGTTTATGCAACCCAGCTGACGCGATCGGCAAAGGATGTAGCTCCTATTAATAGTCACTCAATACAAGCTGTATGTTCCCGTAGGTTTACAACAGACTGTAGAATAATGTCACACTAAAGCGCTGGTTCAGGTTCTCTCCAGTAGAGTCGTCTTTGATGCCAGTGGGAAGACAATAGTTTTTGGTCATCAATGGGTTTCTGTGATGTTTGAGCGAGTATGTAATTGGATGGAGCTATCTCATATATGCACACTTTATACACATCTATTGATGGCTGATAACAAAGCTTTTAATAACATAAACATGCTATGTTTTGGACTGGTTACAGACACATGGGGGTATTCCATTAAATGTAGTTGTGTACTTCCCTAAGGCAAGGCAAGTTTATTTATTCATATTACAGGTCATACACAAGGTAACTCAAAGTGCTTAACAAAACCGGGTATGGAAACAATCACACAATCACAGTACTTTAAAAACAGTGACAATAAAATCCATCAGTTGTATGCACAGTTAAACAGAACTGTTTTTAACCTTTATTTGAACATTGAGAATAAGCATGACTCACATTTTCTAGAATACTGTTACAGATGTTAAATCTAGCAACAGCAGGGAGGACAGTACACAGTTGTCAATTCACCAACAACAGATCAGACAAATGAACAGATCAAACACAGGAAATGCAAACACGTAGCCATTGGTTCATGGGGGGTAGATGACCAATGTCCATAACTGTTAATAAATGTCCTGGATCATCACTGTCCTTAGACCTCCTGAATCGTCAAGGAATGACACAGAGCGGGGTAAAAGTGAGATCCACTCCCAGACAGACTATATAAATCCATAACTCAGGCTTGTTTGAATTTCTATTGATGTCTTATAAGAAAACTTGATTAATTTCAGCCTGGACAGAATCAAAACTATTCCACAACACATATGCTCTGTGGGAATAACTCATTTCTAAACCCACTCAGTTATAATATCAATAAACACACTTGTCTTTCCCTGTTTTTTTCTTATAATCTATTTATCCTCTGTAAAGTTTCTGATGTGATCCGCAGATGGGTCAGGCACTTTGGAGACTGCCTCCCAGACAACAACACCAGCTTCAAGAAGAGCTGGCAGACCTGGCTGAGCAAGCAGGACGAGGAGGCGACCCAGGTCATTACAGAGAAACTTTACTAAGATTTAGAAGCGTTGTGGTATTCTGGGACATCGTGTAAATGTGACTTTTGTACATTATATTATTGTTGTTTTAAAATCTATATTTCTATTTTACTTTTTACTATTGTTTCCCTGATATGCCAAAAAAGTGTAAGCTAGTGATGTGCTACAGATTCATATATTATAAATAACCTTGCTATTTTAGGTCTAAGGGTTAGGATTGTACAAAACTGTATACAAAGAATCTTTACTCTAATACTTCTACATTCACTAAACTAGAATAGCATCATCATAACATAATAATATTGCTGTTTTTATCCCAGTTTTACTAATTAGTTCATGTGAAATTGTGCCACCAAAAATATTATTAAGCTTTTAAATTGGGGTTTACATTGTAGTTTAGTTAAGTTATGTATTTCTTATTTTTGTACAGGCAGAGATGGAGGCCAGAGAAGAGGTCCTCAGCCGTGCTACAGCCCCGACATCTACCATCTGTTAAGGTCACGCAGAGGAGGTAACACACTGCAAAATATGAGGTAGTTTTAGCTTGAGTAGTAGCAAGTAGTTTTTAACATTAAAGTCATAAACAGACAGATGGATAATTTATTGATCCCAGTAGGAGATATTTACGTGTCCAGAAGCAGAAACACATCCATCCATATAAACAATTAAATACATCATTCTAAAATAGTAATAAATCGCAAGAGTACTTTCGGTCACAGCAGTAGAGGTGGTGTAGACGCTGGTACTGAGCTTCTTCCTCTGGTTGATGTTTGCAGAGTCTGCTTGGTTCGGATAATTTTCTCTGCTCTGGTTCAGAGTGAAATTCTGAGTGCTTTATTAGAATTTTTCAAAACAATAGCATTCCTCCAGTGGATATACGATTGATCTGCTTGGCTGGGACTGAGCATCCTCTCCGCTCTGGTCTGGATCAGTGTAAAACCATGAACACTACAGCAGTAACATTTACAGATAGAAAAAAGCAAGAGAAATATCAATACTAAAACACAAAACAACAGGTGTTTTCAGAGCAACTTAGGACTTTTTGCCGTTTGAAGCGCTTTCAAAAGCAAAATATCCTTTTTGCCTGTAGACCTTTCACTGTGCTCTATAGATTACATTACAGTATATTTTTATACTGGGAGCTTTGAATTAAAAACCTCGAAAAAAAAGGCCTATTCTGACCCAGCCATGTGTATGTGAAAAAGAACCATCACAGTAAACAATAAGATAATATCAGTAAATTAAAGAGTGAAGATACACCAGTCCAGTGTGTACGGAAACCACTCTCCGGGATCCTTTCGATTTTGGGTTGAAATTCCTGTTTTTGCGCCGTGAGAATGACGCTCTCACTTTCCCTGAGGCCACATGAGCTGTTGCCTCAGTGCGTTCTTGTAGAAGTCTGCCTCATGGTTTCGCTCTGTTCTCAGGTAAATCGCAGCACGGCTTCATCGACCTGGAGATGCTGCCTCCGGAGCTGGGCATCACCATCCTGTCGTACCTGAACGCCACTGACCTGTGCCTGGCCAGCTGCGTGTGGCACGGCCTGGGCAACGACGAGTACCTCTGGCAGGGGTGAGACCACTCTGCATCAGGGCTGGGGGGAAAAAATCTGTTCTGTTCAGTATCGCTATATTTAATTCAATAATAATCTGTTTCACTTTTGTGTTTTCTCTGGTCATGCAAATTTTCTTATTATATGGGGCCTCACAGCAGCAGTAAAGTGCTTCATTGATTTGAATGTGTTTTCAAATTGTTCTTCCGGTCATTATTTCTTGATGACAAACCTCAAAAACCAATAGTGGCGGCTGCTCAGGGATTCATATCTTTATAACAAAGAACAGCATATGCCTATTTAGCAGCGCCCGGGAAGCTAGTTTACTGAGAGAGGCTAAAAAGTCTCATACTTTAAAATGTTTTTCTGTGAGAGCCATTTTCCTTTGTGTGATTTTATTTGAAACAAGATTTTGTCAATTTATTTATTGATGTCCACATTTTACATTATTAAAATCAACAAATCATGCAGCAAATTTTGAGTGCAATATTAGCCTCGGAATGTATAATTTTGTTTGATAACATTTGTATACAGAATAAATCTATCACATAAACATTCTTACTACTAATCTGACCTCTGTGATATAGCTTTCTGGATGACACAGAAAGAGAGGACCACACACAATGACACATGGGCCACACTTTGGCTCGTGGCCTGAGGTTGGAGATGCCTGTGTTAAACCATAAACGTAGGCCTTTAATAGTATGTTTTTTGCTGTTGACGCAGACTGTGCAAGTCGACGTGGGGCCACTGCTCCATCTACAACAGAACACTACCTGAAGGATTCTCCTACAGACGACTTTACCTCCAGCTCGACGAAGGCTGTCTGACCTTCAACGCCAACCCACAAGAGGTAATCTTCAGCATCACAATCAGAAGCACTTCAGAATCAATCAGAAACCTACACAGACACGGGGAGAATTTTCAAACTCCACACAGAAAGGCCAGAATGTACACATTTCTTATACAGTAAGCCAGAAACAGAACCTACAAATCAATAGAAAACATGACTTTGAGTTATTCCTATTTCATTCATAAAGACCAATATTATATACAATCTTTGATCAAATCTGAAAAGGGTTTTGGTGCATGACTCTACAAGCTTTGCACATCTAGAGACTGAATGTTTTGCCCTTTTGAGTCCTGCATCTACTGCCTGTCTGTTCGTGAGCGGATCCCTCTCTCAATGTGGGCCTTCCCGAGGTTTTTTACTTTTTCCCTCTGGGTTTTTAAAGTTGTTTTATCTGTGTGCATTCATTTGTGCACAGCCCTAAATCACACCAGCAGTCGTCTCTGAGAACCTTACTTTCTTACATCCATGGTTTTATTGTTTTTATAATGTAAGTACTTAGTGTATTAGCGTCTTAAGTTCTGTCTCTTTCTGTTCCCAGGGCGTAGATTACTTCCTGTCCAAAGGGATTCTGGTGGACCACGCCACAGAACTCGCCAAGTTCATTTTCTACACGCGGAGGCTCAACTGGAAGATGCTGCGGATTTATCTGGACGAGAGGTGCCGTTAGCTTTGCCCAGATGTCGGAATAATCACAGATATACACAGAACTATATTGACGATTCAGCAAAAAGTAAAACATATATAGTAAAAGTTCAGGAGGATCGATGGTGTAAATAGGTCAGAGATGGGAATAAAAACATCATCCTACTGAAGTTGAATACATGGTACATATTATTCTACGTATTCTGTACCAGCTCCTGTTTAGTTTAGAACTCTGTAGCTAAGCAAGACAGATGTATGAAGGTCAAAAATAATACATTAATGAATAAAAAGATAAATGTCAACACTGGCAAATAATCATCAGGTTTATCACTACAAAGTCTCAGATTAAAATATATTTATTTAAATACAATTGTAATATTTTTATCTCAGATTTTAAGTGACTTCTTAATAAGAATTTGCCAATGTGAACATTTATTTTATGTATTCGTTCATCTATTATTTTGGCAGTTTTGGTGCTTCATCCAAACTCATAAAAAATACCGGCTTCTTTCTCATTTTATGCAGAAAAACCCTAAAAATAGGAATTGGAAATATATAATGTACTCTTATTTTTACTGTTTGTACATTTCCTGATTATTTGCACACCTGACTGATCTTACGGGTAAACGTAACATCAATCAATCAATCAATCAATTTTATTTATAGAGCCCTTTGCAACACTCAAGGCGACCAAAGTGCTTCACAATAAAATTACAATTCACAATTATAAAATCAATTTAAAACATTTATGCACTAAAACAATAAAACATTTAAAAAAGAATTAAAAAAAATTGTGTAAAGTAAAAATGAGTAACTGTATTGAAATGTGCCCTCAGGCGAGACGTCCTGGACGAGTTGGTGACGCTTCATAACTTCAGTAACCAGTTCCTTCCCAACGCTCTGCGGGATTTCTTCAGACACATCCACGCTCCGGAGGAGAGGGGGGAGTATCTGGAGACCCTCATCACCAAGTTTAGCCACCGCTTCTGCACCTGTAACCCTGGGCTGGTGCGCGAGCTCGGCCTCAGTCCTGGTGAGCAGAAAAACTACAATGTTCTCCTTTCTGGTTCCAAAAGGTGAAAAATTAAAGGAGCAGTATGTAAAAAATCTGGCCAATAGTGGCACTGCACTCTCCCTGACTCAGGTTGCCAGATATGCAGACGAATCCAGCTGGGACCATAACAGCTGAATAGACAAGAGTTTTGTCAACAACAAATCTATAACCAACACCTTTTTCACAAAGATAGAAATCCTGGTTTTATTCCTTGTTTTGTCGTTAATGATTTGAGAATCATAACGAGACCTTTTTTAGTTCTGCGCCACATGGTACTTTACCAGTGAGAATAGCTTGACACGGTGAGTACTGGTGCCCGGATCACAGACTTTCTGATTGGTGAAACGATGGAGGGCGGGACATCAAAATGAAAAAAATAATAGATTTAGGGGCTGGAAAAGTCATTTTAAAATTCAAATATCTCTGAACTACTGCAATCAGTTAAAGATGTATCGGAAAAGAGCAGGTTTTATTAAGCCTTTTGACAGATTAGGGCCCTTTAATGATGACTTGACATGAAAATCTTACATACTACTACTTTAACCCAAACCTTTGAATATGAAATAATAAGATAAGATAGACTTTATTGATCTCTCACTGGAGAAATTTACACGTCACATTTGGCACGGATAAAATCACTCTGATTGTGCAAAAGACAGAAGTGTACAACATGTTGAAAATATAGTCTGTGTAGAATATCATTATGTACAAGTGGCAATTAAAGAAACTGCGGCAATAGCAGTTTGGCTTTTTTCAGTCCTAGTGCATGAGTGACTTAAAGTGACTTATTGTACAGTCTGACAGCGGTGGGGATAAAGATACATAAAGATAATATAGTAAGAGCTTGACTTGGTTGTCATATTTGTATGAATAAGCAGATGATAGAAACTTGTCTCTCCAATACCAGCGATAGTGAATTAGCTATTAATTATTAATTATGTTTATTTATTCATTCGAATTTAGGACAAATGAATCGATGTGTCTGCAAACAGTGTCAACATAAATATGCTGGAATTAGCACAATATCTAAATTGCATCCATGGGCAGGTAGAAACAAACAAACACAAAGAGAAAGTCCAAGGAAAAGCAGAACCTCATCTATGGGAGTATGACTGGTTTAGTAGGTCCCATAGTTACGTATGTGTTCTGAAAAGGTGTTGATAATGTTGTGCCTCTGATGGGCGCCACCCTTTGGCATAATTTAGACCTGCGCCTTTGTACATTACAGTCTCCCCTGGTTTGTGCTCTGGTCCAGACTCCACTGTTTCTACAGAGGATACTTCTGTCTTCCTCCAAATGACGTGTCTTATCAGCTGCTGTTCCCAGGCACAGTCAATCCAGCCGACCCATATTTGGTTTACTGGGCTGACTGCGCCCCCTGCTGGACAGTGGTCGCTGAAATGCACCCTTATCACGATTCATAATGTCTGTGCCACTGTTTCTGATTTCTATTGCTTCTTTGATCCAGCGCTTGTATTTATTTAGTTTCTGATGAATGATTCTTGTGCTGTCCCAGTCCATGAGATGGTTTTTGTGTTTGCAGTGGTCTGATATTGCCGATTACAAATGAAAAAACACAATAAAAATACAGCCATAAAACCACACCATAATTTAAGACTGGTATTAGTGCACCCCCATTGCTATACACAAATACAATGAATCTATAAGCCGCACTTCGAACCCTGCAGCTTGATTTATTAATTTATGTATTTTTTTCTGTGGTGCCAAAAACAAAACAAGCAAAGCATGTAAATAGTTCTCAGTATAGGCATGAAAATAGAAAGTACCGGTAGGTGTTGCTCATGACCTTTCTGCTTTCACTAGAAGATTAAGAACTTCCAGTGACTCACTTTTTACAGTAATTGAAAAAGTTTTGAGCTACATGTTTCAATATTACAACGTGGGGCTTATAATCAGATGCGGTTTATAGTCCGGAAAATTGACTCAACGTCCAATGTTATGGGACAGGCTTCCAAACTAAAAAACAGCTTCAAATGTCAATAGATTATACCCAAACCTGTTCTGATTGTGTGTGTGTGTGTTTTCTTGTTAGAGGTTTGCGACTCGTTAACATTGTTTCTTGCCATACAATCTGCAACCCAAATCAAAGTGCTCTTTCTGTGTCTGGATAATCCCATTTAAGAAGCAATAAAATCCAACGTTAAGAGAGACAGATTAAGTAAAACATCTGTAGTCTTTTTCCCTCAGTTGCTTTCAGCTTCGTCCATTGTTGACGTCTGTCTTTGGGTCCATTAGCCTCTGGATCAGACAAATGCAGAGCGCTAATCCCGGCGTATTTGACTCGTTCCAGACTCGGTGCAGAGGGCGCACGAGCTGCAAGTGTAGATTACGTGGATTAGAGTAATGGCCCGGCGGCTGAGGTCTCACTGTGAAATACATAACGTCACCAAAACCTATGTTCAAACTGCCAAACGTTAAACTGATAGAACCAAGAAATGCAACACAACACCAGGGAATATGCTGGATTAACGGCTGATCCTTTGTTTGACAGATGTGGCAGAGATGGAGTCAGGGTTTTACCAGCACTAGAGTCTGGTTATTGTAGTTTTTTGTCAATTTTTCTGCAATAATCCCAATCTAGAGCTAGGACTGCACAATAAACTTGCATTATCAATGTTTTTCAATCCATCAATCTTTAAATTGTAGGTTATTTAAAGAGACAGTCTGTCAAATTTTCATTGTAAATTAGATCTATATTTTGTATATATGTCCCCAGATACCAGGTCACATCTACAAATCATGTGTGACCTTTATTGAACAAAAGTTAAAAATACAATGGACATGATGTTGATAATATCTACGTTAAAGATTTTCAAGCTGATTATCCAGTTAAAAGATATATTAAGGATTTTCCCAAATTTTAGGAAAGACCCTCCCTCTCCACTTTTTTCTCAAAAACTCTCTGGTATTATTTGACGAGCACCAGAATGATTGACAGTTAGGATGACCAATAGTCTTTATGATCCACCCAGAGGTAGAAAATCCTCCTATATACTTTTAAGTAATAATAATACATTTTATTTTAGGTGCCTTTCTTGACGCTCAAGGTCGCCTTACATACAAGTAAAAAAGTGCATTTTAAAAACAAAAAAGTTAAAATCATCCTGGACAGAGGAGAGTGTGGTTATGGTGTTAGTGAGTAGGCTTAGGTCTAAACAGATTAGTTTTGAGGGTGGATTTGAAAAATGTGAGTGGGTCGGTGTTACGAAGGTCAGGGGGGAGAATAATTCAATTCCATCTATATTTGTACAGCCCTAAATCACAACAGCAGTTCTCTCAGAGGACGTCACAAATGTGTGGATTCGCCAACACAGATCAGAGAATCAAACTCAAGAAATGCGATGATAGAAAAACACATTGGTCCATAAGGGGCAGAAAGCAGTGTCCATAAATGTTGATAAATGTCCATACATTTCAAGTGCCCAATCAGAGAGCAGAAAGAGTCTCATTTGGGTTGACAGTTTGTTAGAAGAATTTTACCTGGTTTTGGCTTTTTTTCCGATGCAGGAGGGTCTACTGTAGGCACAAGGACAATCCAGGACATTTAAGGACATTTATGGACAGAGGTCATCTCACCTCCTATCGACCATGTGTTTATTATTCTTGTATTTACTGTGTTCATTGATACATGTATGTTATGGTACCAGGGGTCTCCAACCTTTTCCCTCGGAGAGCTACTTTTTGCGGAACACAAGTGACAGAGAGCTACTGCTTTTAGACAGTTGACAAAGGATTAGTTTTTATTTGATTTGAAAAAAGTTGGATATTCTTAAAACAATGGAATAACCAACTTTAGTCTTAAATCCAGCACAGATAAAGCAAGTTTTTTATTGATAAATCCAAATATTCTCTAATTAATTGAGAAAAATGTGGGCAATTTCACATTGTTTTGGCTTATTTCTGTGTAGTGTTATACCCCTATAAGAATCTACCATAATATACTTTTATATTTGCTAGTTTGATTAGCGTGGCGAGCAACTGGTAGTTCCCAAGGTAAAGGTTGGAGACCCATGTTGTTGAGTAATCGCCAACTTTGTAAAGTCCTCCGAGACTGTTGTGATTTAGGGCAATTCAAAAATACTTGTAGAAATCTTCCAGACCTTTCCCGGTTGCCAACGTTTACATTTGTGTCTGTGTTTCTTTGTGTCTTTGCGTGCAGATGCGGTGTACGTGCTGTGCTACAGTCTGATCCTGCTGTCCATCGACCTCACCAGTCCGCACGTCAAAAACAAAATGTCCAAGCGAGAGTTCATCCGCAACACGCGCCGCGCCACTCACAACGTGTCCGACGACTTTGTGGGACACCTTTACGACAACATCTACCTGATCGGACACGTGGCAGCCTAGACCCACTCACGTGAGAGAAAGAGAGAGAGAGGAAAGAAAGAGAGAGAGAACAAGCCTATCTGCTCAACTCTGTCTCAAAACCTCAACTCAGTCCGTCAAAATAACAGGAGATGGCTAGCACTTTGGCTTCAGATTCAATTTATTATTTGCCATTTGCAGTAAAACCACATTGGAATAACTGTGCAAGGTTAATTTGAATGATTTATTTAACCAGGAAAGTCCAGTTTATATTAAGAACCTCTTTTTCAAGGGAGTCCTGGACAATAGGCAGCAAAAGTTACACACAGTTAGATACAATTACAGGTTATAAAAACAGTTACACACTAATTCATAAAATTACAGATTATAAAAACGGTTACGTGTCACTTGAAATAAGTTCAGTCAATTTCCAGTCTTTTTGCATCACGTTCCATGTAGAAGAAGCAGATTTTAATAGATTATTCATCCCACAGTGGGGAAATTCCAGTATTGCTTTACAAGTTTCAGAACCGTAGGAAGATAAATGAACAGTAACTATACAAAAATTAAATAAAATCTTGAACTTTAGTACACTAAAAGATGTACCCCAGACTACCCCAGTGTGCACCAGGTCTGCTATAGTACACACCAAAGCTCATGCCATGGTCCTTGGTTCAATTTCACCTCCAGACTGGGCCTTTCTGTGTAGAGTTTGCATGTTCTCCCAATGCTCCAGTTTCCCCTAGCACTGAAACAATATCTGCCCTGTCTGTGGGGCCAGGACTTCACTGAAAAAGGGGTGAGAAATTCTGAATTGGATTTTCTTGGTTAAAAAAAGGTCAATAACAGACAGTTTAGTGAAGAGGTTGGATGAAGCCACTCCTCTAACTACTGTAGCTGTACGGGGCTGCTAAGTGTGACATCAATTCCTACTGATTCAAAGCCGACAAACATAACTTTTTTGCTTTCTCTTTGACTTCATTCTTTGGTGATATGTTCTGGTCAGATAAAAAACAGATAATGTTTTTTTTTATCTGGTAGAGTGAGAATAGAAGGAAGTGGCTTGAAGTGATAACATAAGCTAACATGAGGCTAACGCTATGCTATTGTGTTTAGCATTGGAAAAATTTGATAAATAATAATTGTGAAAGATTGAAAGCTTGTTCAAAGCTTGTCAGTGAAGAAGTATTAGCTACAAAACCCATATTGTAGTTTTAAATAGTTGTGCTTTTTGGGCTTGACACTACCGCGACGTGGGTAGCGGTTAGCACATAGCCACTTAGCATCCATTTTATCTTCAATACTATCAATAGTTTTGATTTTTTTTTTTTTTTATTCCTATAAGGATATCTCATGTAAATTTTTCTTCAGGAACCCAAGGCGAATTATTATTATCTAAGTTAAGTGTTTGGTTACGCTATTAACCAATCCATCCACTAAATACCCAAGATGCACTAGCTCTGATTACTAGACACACACCAAAGCGATATATAAAGCTGTGTAAATTAAAATAGCTTGGATTTGAGGTTTTGATGAGAGTTTTGAGAGACTACGGATTTGTCCGGATCTTTGCACTGCACTGACGAACGGAAAAAAACGGGAAAGTCACTCTTTCCCAACAGAAGTTTGACGAAGTTATCATAAACAAAACTATGTAGGACAAACTAGAACGGATGAATGAATAAGAAGAGGATGTAGACAAGACCGCCGCACCACTGTGAAAGACTGGGCCGCCGGAAAAGTCTTGTTTCCCCGACGACGAGCTCTACTACTGCACTGAACGATGGGGATTTTAATATATTTTTCTCCCTCATTTATACAGAATAACAGGGCTTCAAAGGGGATATTCTGTCACGATTGTAGCTGCTTTATATTGATTTACTGTCGTTCAAAATGGCTCCCTCAGACAGCAAAGATGAGGCCGTTTTCTTATCACATGCTTGTTCAATTGAAGTTTGCATTTCCCTGGATAGAAGGAGCACATCGGCACCAGAGAAACATAGTTCTAGATGATTTAAAACGTCTTGAATTCAGGATTGTGTTCTTAAAGCCGGGGCACCCAACTTTCAAACTACAAAACATGAACTATGTATTAACGTTCCATGTGACTAGATCCTCTCAAAAATGTTATGGCACTAGTTATGACCATAGACTGTATACAGATGGACAATGCTAACCCGCTAGCTCAAAAAACACACATTTGAATCAACTTGGATGGATTTTACGACATAGTACAGTTTTAGTGGTTTCAAAGTTAGGCACTCCAGCTTTAAAATGGGAAAAGCCCACCGAAAAATAGTCCCATTTAGAATAAGATGTATTCTATATGTAACCGGTCTTTGGATTTCTATTTTGAAAGTTACATACCCCTGTTTTAAATACAGTTATGTCTTCTCTCTTTGAATAAGTTACTTAGTTAAATAGTATTTTCACATTTATTCTCAGCAATACATTCTGTTTCTCCCAACAAAATAACACAGAATACCATTTTGACCCAAAGGCAGTGATTAAAAGTAAAAGAAAAATACTCTAAATTCTGGTCTAAATGAGTCTAAATGACCCAGGGCTGGTCAAGTTAGGAAGAATCATCCAAATTCAGCTTGAAAAAAAAGAAAATGTAGTATTTTTGAATCACTATGGTGGTCAATTCTACCCAAGGATAAAACAAGGGTTAATTAACATACTGAAGTCGACACAGAAATATGCCATAACGTACTTTATGGTGAGAGATAATTGTAGTTACAGTGCCTTGCTAAAGTATTCATACAGCTTGACCCTTTGCACATTTCGTCACGTTTACAATCATAGACACATAGAGATTTTATTTAGATTTTTTTTACTGAACGTTCCCACACACGCAACAGACAACTCTGAAATGAAAGTAAAATAATATATGATTCTGTTATTTTTGTACTTACTAATACTTTTACAGCAATAACAAACACAAGTCTTTTGGGGTATGACTTTACAAGACATTCGCAATTAGAGAGAAAAAGTTTAGCCCATTCCTCTTTACAAAACAACTCCTGCTCAGTAAAAACTCTGGTTGTAATCATGACAAAATGGGAAAAGGTTCAAGCTGTATTTTTGTAAGACACTAAAAATGTTTGATCAAAACTACTTTTTCCTTGTTACTAGTTGGCGATTGCTGTCTTTGGGTTTTCCATTTTGAACATTCTTGATCTAGTTTTGCCATGAAACACTGAAGTCCATATGTTTTAATGTGAACGTCCCCAATAATATGTTGAATGTCATGTTTTATGTTTGTGTTGACTTTTGTTTTGAAGAGTTTTATTATTCTAACTGACGGTGGTAGTACCTTTGTGAAGATGGAATTTGTTCTTTTCTTGCGGCCAATGATGAATGTGAAGTTATGTTAATGTTATGAGTGAGAAGAACAATGTATTCCCCTATTTTAAATACACTAAAAAGCAGTTTTCGCATATGGATTCTGTATTCATCGAAATGACAGTGTTTTTAATGAAAATGTCGAGATCTTTTGTGTTTTTGGGTGAACGCTGTGGATCAGTGCTGCAAGGAGGAAGCAAAAACTCATCAATATTATAATAATATTTGAATGGGTAGTTTGATACACGATTTTAAACTGCAAAATGGATCAGAAATTTAAAGCTGGGGTCCCTAAATGTCTTGTGTTCTGAAAATAATACACGTTTAGTCTTTTAAAGTGAAATTGTACGGACGAATGAGACCACAACATACTGTCTTCATCCTATAAGAAAACATTTATAAAAAAGGGCCCTGAGAGTCACTATTTGACTATTTGGGCTGAGAGCTGATTGGCTGAGAGATGCTGGGTCTCTGTTTTTCACTTTTCTGCCTGAAAAACGGATCTAGAGATGTGACAGAAGTCAAAGAATACATAGATGTGAAAACTAGTAGTAACCACCACACCAGTTAAATTGATATTATTACAGTAACATTTTTGTAATTTAGGTACCCTAGCTTTAAATGTATTCCCTTTTTTGTGAATGTATCAAAAGTAAACGTTATCTCAAGACCTGTCCATGCTCCAAACTCAGCCAATAGTATGTAGCTTTCTTTATCATACTGTTAAATCTATTTGAACTAGCAAGTGCGTCCCTATGTAAGACCCATTATAGGTTTTTGTGTGAAGGAGCAAAAACTACAACTTAAATCTGTCAGCGAAAGACTGTAGAGACATTTTCTTATCAAACCTTTAGTAGTGCTGGAGGTGGAAGAGCAATTCTCACTTCATAGATTAGTACCGACTTATTGGTGCTGACCTAATGGGGAAGAATGTTGGAGAAATGTTTGCAAATAATGTTGTTTTCGTTCACCTCTCTGTGTACATTGACATCTACTTTTACTTCTAATATCGGTGCTTCATGAAATTCTCTCTGGTTTGTATTTGGCTGTGGTTGTAGTGACAGAAACTTGTTGTTTTAAAACAGGTTCTTGAACATCTCAGCCAGAGCAGCGCTTTTAAAAAAATTAACTTTAAAACTCCTCAATACGTTTTATATCATGCTTTAAAAATTCACATTGTGCGTCTCTAGCCATACCACAAAAAACTTACCATTTTACCGTTTTTTTGTCTATTACACAGCAGCATAACATACAAAATATGTATTGTGTTTTTACATTCATAATTTAAATGTAGGAAAACTTTTGCTTTTTCTACTCTGTGTGTGTGCATGCATGTCTGCATTGCGGTCATGGCAACGGTTGCTAAGGAGCTTTTTCTGGCTCTCGGCTCTCCCTTTCCGCAAACATGTTTTTGAGAGCTACAAATGTATAGATGATATTATTAGAACACTTTTAAGCTATACATTGAATGGACGAAGGTATTTTTTTGTGAATTTGGATGCAGCCGAGGACTAAATCTTCAAAATCAGTGCTTTTCTAACTTTTCATTCATGTTTTTGTAGTTCAATTTTTAAACAGGATTTTCCAATTTACATTTTAGTAAAATTTTTGACCTGGTTTGTACTCTGAAATCCAACTATTTTACATTACTTTGGGTAAAAGTTAGCAAACTGCTGGTCTAAAGTACTGCCTCA